AAAAATATGAAATGATAATCATCTGGTGTCGTTGGTTAATATCACACAGCCTGAAATCACTTCTAATTCCATTTCAAAATGTTGTCCTACATAAGCCAACAACCAAATCATCAACCTCGGCAAGTAAACATTAGAGTTTATGTAAAAATAACAGATATCAGCAATGTGTCTTTATGCTGTGTCCACGAAACACGAGTTCTTAATCATTTCGTATATTTATTTACAACTGTTTAATAAACCATTTAAGAACCTATCTTTATATGACATTTTTGTCTGATTTTTGCTTGTAGAATATACTGGTAAAGTTTGTCCCAAAAAAATTGGAACACCCTGTATATCAGTCTCATAATTTTAAAATAACGATTTAAAAGTCTGGGCGTTAAAGGGTTAAAAATCACTTTTCCAGGCTGCGATAAACTGCTATTTAAGAGGTTCTACTTTAATCGCGAACCGTTGCTCGGAACTTTAATCCAACGGTAAGAACCCCAATAAAAGAAAAGAAAAAGACGAAAATCATTCGTATTAACTCGTTGGGTGGGGGGGGGGGGGTTGTCGGTGGAAATTTAAACGTCGCTGCGGAAGGTTGGATCTTTGTTTCGCGGATTATATCTATTCCAAAACGGTTTATATCCCGTGGTTTTCAACGTGGAAAAAGCGACCAGACGCTCAGTCGAAGTCGGCGAGGGCGAACGGCGGAACGAGCCGCTTTCCCGCCCAACGCTGGCGCGGGATTTATAAAGCTTGGGAATGGGAGGGGGGGGGGGTAGAAAACAGAAAGGAATCTACGGTTTAATAGCCGTGTTTCTCGTAGAAATTTTCCGCTTCCTGCCACACGTTCCACCGAAAACTGCGATTAAAAACGTCTTTCTTTCTCTCTCTCTATCTCTTTGGTAGCAACGAAAAGGACGGTTAGATGCTAGACGGAAATTATGGCGCGCGGAACGCTAGGAATCCTTGTGGCGGACCTCCAATTACTCGCCGCGAGAGTTATCCCATCTCGGATGTGTCGCGTTGTCGACGGTAAAAATAACTGTCGTGGGATAGCTAAACGGATTTTTTTATTGGAATATATTAGATGTATCAATAAGAAGTCCTAATGGGGTTTTTAAAATATTTTGACAGTAGTTTTTTTTATTCAAAATGACGGCGAACATTGAAGAATGAGGAGTAATATCACGGATGATGGGTAGGTTTTTTATTCCCTCGAAAATAAGTGTTCGGTTTGACAGAATGTAGTGGATTAGTAATTGGTACACTAGATAGACATATTTTATTTGTTGACAGGTTAACAGGTTGGGGTTGTTGTAGATACATTTCCAAATAGCACATGACGCCTTGAAGACGTCCATTTTACGGCTATTTTAGGTTAAGGCGCCTTTAAGCCGTTTTCAAGGCGTCATTGGGCGTCAAGTGCTATCTGGATTCACGTAGGATAGACGTGTTTCATTGAATTTTTGTCATTTTTGCGTCTTAAACTAGGTAATCAACTAGTTTTTAAATACATTTAGTGTTTTTTTTTTTCATAAAAATTAGGGACAGTGGTTCATTAAGAATATTCAACGCCTGACGCCATTTTGTGCCAAGAATAATGGCGGGAAAATGGAAAATTAAATTCAATTCATGCAAGGAGTAGTTTAATATGTACCTATACACCATAAAATTGGAGTAGCTTGTAAATGAATCGTTTTCAGACAAAAATTCCTTCATATTTCCTTAATATTAATTAATTCTTCATATTTAATGTACAAATGAAGAGGTGTTTGGGCATTGAAGGATTAACCTCTCGAGGAATAGTGGCACGTATGTGTACGTTTAATTTGTACAAATCATTCCAAAATTATAATGAAATATTCATTAGGAAATTCCCCACCAAAGCAGGGTACTCTGCTAATTGATTCTTGTTAAATACACCTACAAAATAAAACAAATATATTTCTTCTGGTCTTAATAAATTCCTCCTCAAAGAGGTTAAATAATATGTTGCAAACTAAGACGATTTTTAGTTTTAAAAAAAGCACGTAAGATTATTAAATAAAATTACAATCCTACGGTGCCAGTAATTAGGACATCCACCCTATCATTGATTCACGAGTTCTTAAAAATTCGAATTATCGAAATCAAATTTTACCTCTCTAGATCCCTAAAATATCACACTCTGCATCCTCCGTCATTTTGGTGCTTTCTTCGCTCCGCGGAGAAATGGTTAAAAACCATCCCTGCAGGTGGAACCTGGCCTCACGTATATATGACAAATCAGTGTACACTTTGCCAACCAAGAAGGGGGGGGGGGATGTCGCTATCTCGAATTCGCCGTGTTCGTCTGTGATTGCTCCCACGGCCAAGAGGAATCGCCAGCAATAAAGCATTCTTAGTATCCCTCCCCCCCCTCCCCTTCCAGTGTCAAAAGCCGTCGTGTGCCCCTGGGGTGTCGTGCAGAGCCGCCGTCGCACTTTTATATCTTTGCCTAGCCGCGAAAATTTGCATGGTCCTTTCGCCGTGCGGTGACGAAAAGGGGCGTCGAGGCGTCGTCGGCCCGCGGAACGGGAGCGACGACGCGAACTACGGAGAAGGGGGGGGAGGGACTCCGCGAGACTTAAGGGCTTTACTCGCGTCGAATTCCAAGCGTGCCAGCGCTACCTGCCTGGAATATCGTCTCGTTATATTTCCGCCCGGCGACCCTCCTCCCCCCACTCCACAACCTTCTCTTTCTCAACCCGCTCTTCTCTGTCCGCTTGACGCCTGAGCGATATTTTATTTGCAAAGAGCCTGCAGGTTGCCGGTTGCTTCTTATCTTGTGTGCACAGGAATTTCTCCTTGGTAGCGACGGAGATTTCATGCTATAGACGAACAGGGAGGGGGGAACGAAAGATACTGGGGAGAGGGACGTTGGAGAGGGTGTGAAGTACATTTTGCTGTATTGTTGCCGGGGTTTCGCCGGGTAGTAACAGCGGGTAAAAAGTGTTTTAGGGGGGGGGGGCATTTAGGTGACATTAATTATCATTAATTTTCCATAGAAAATTTTGAAAATACGTATTTTTATGTCGTGGTTTATTGCATTGAATTCAGTTGTGTAAAAAGTAATTTATTAAATACATTTTGTCTATTGTGATACAACAAATTTTTTTTGGAAATAAATTATATCGTAAAATCTGTACTATTATCTGTGTATTACTTTCATGCATTTTAAACAAAATTATTACGTGAACAATATTTGTTACAGTGTTATCCTACGAAAAACAAGTCACCCATCTGGGGCCTAAAAATTGGATTCCTGTCCTCTACAGGTTAATTGGAGTATTAACTTCTAATTTGGATTATTATTTTTCTCAAATGGACCAAGTGTCCAGTGACATTATCGACAGGACTGTACTTGACTATAGCGTGTCAAAAATTTGTATTTTAAATAATTCCACAAGATATTCGAGTCATATTTAAGATTACTACCTAACCTAAAAAATTAGTCAAAATTGTACTTCCAATTTCCATTACCTTTCTCAAATCACCAAAATTTTCAGTGACATTATAGACTGGACTGTACTTGACCATAACGTGTCAAAAATTCGTATTTTTAATAATTCCACAAGATATTCGCGCCATGTTCAAGATCACTACCTAACCTAAGAAATCAAACAAAATTGCACTTCTAATTTCGATTATTATTTTTTTCAAATGGACCAAGTGTCCAGTGACATTATAGACAGGCCTGTACTTGACTATAGCGTGTCAAAAATTTGTATTTTAAATAATTCCACAAGATATTCGAGTCATATTTAAGACCACTACCTAACCTAAAAAATTAGTCAGAATTGTACTTCGAATTTCCATTACCTTTCTCAAAACAACCAAGTGTCCAGTGACTTATAGACAGGACTGTACATTCTGTTTTCCCTCATTTCGTACCTTCTTAACCACAATTTTTTCTCCATTTCTCTTCGCTTGTCACGTTTATCATGTATACCATCCTCTTCCCACATCGTGGCCCTCTCTTGTCTGCCCCCGATGAATTATTTACGAACGACAGCCAGAAACAAGTCGTATCGACTCTGTGGCCAGAGGCACCTGGCACCCTTTCGATGTTTGACACATAATCCCCGGTCATTAATCTCATTGAGAACCGTCCGGCGAAAGAATGGGCCGGTTAAATTAATACGTGCGACTTCCCTGGAATCTGGACTGGAATGTCCCCGGTTATGATGCTGGCTGCTTTTTTTTTTCTTTTACGCACGCGCGCTCTGCGGAACGCTCGATTAAGAAATAGTTGGGAGTACGATCGTTGGATGGGTACACGATCGAGTAACGGGTACCGTGTGTCGCGGGCAACGAATCGAGAGAAGTTATGTTAGAAATGGAGGATCGTTTCTAAAAGTGGTATTATGATTTTTATAATGTTTTAACCCTTTTGGGCCATTTAACCCGTTTTAACGACCTGTTATTGACCCTGTTAAAATTGCTCACCATTTAACGATACGTCGATATCGTCTTTTATTATACAATAAAAACAAGTTTCTTTTTATAGAATTTTAAAGATTTCAGTGTCTGTTATATAAATCCAGCTGAGCTTCTTAGCAAGTGCTCTCTTAAAAATCGGTGATCTGAAAAGGGAATTTTGTTGTAAGAATATGGCGAAAAATTATGGGCATTAAAGGCAGGTACTAGGGGTTGTTTGAAATCTTCGTAGAAGTTCCTCTTTATAGTTTTCTTCTTATGTTACATATTTATTCTCGATTGTTGTTCTTCAGACTTTTTGGATAATTTTTTCGCCTAAAATAATAAATTATATTTTACGTTGTACTGTTTGTAAGTGACCGAGTGAAATTGAACATCCTGTATATAATATCTTAGTAATGTCGTTTGAAAGTATGTATTCGTGGTTGGTATAATATATTCGAAGTATTCAATTAAACCAACGTCGATACGACAGGTGTTTCAAGATCAACGATAATTATGATTAATATTGCTCGAATATTAACTTGTATATGTGAATTTTAAGGCGATCTTACCTGCGGAAAAGAGGTGGCTCGTGCACGAGCAGGTGAAAATCGTTTTCTGAGCAGACCTCACGGTCACGATGGTGAACCGCGCATTTGAAGCTTCTGGTTCGTTTCCCACTCATCTGAAATTAAATTCAGTTTTCTTACTACTGTATTATAATTCTGTCTAAAATTATATTCTACTACAGTATTGTTTTGTAGTTACGTGGAATGTAAACTTAAAAAGTATGTAAATTCTGACCATTTCGAGAGGATCATTGTAAAATTTTTAATATGAAACTTGAAATACATTAGTAATACAATATTTCCTTTCTACAAACACACTGTTATGCACTGACAATTCGATTATGAACAATAGACAATACTATTCCACCATTCAAAAATATAAATTTTTACTGTTTGAATAAGTAATATTCCTAGAATACTACTCTGCCGCTCATAAATTGCAATTTTAATGTTTCAATAAAGGAGCTCCCTTCTCCAGATACGTATTCAATTTTTAAATATAGCACTTAAAGAGGTAATTGATTGAGCGTGATTCAGGACGAGAATTTTGTATCACTGTCTCCAAAATATTAAATCTAAAATCCATTTAAAGTAATATTACAAAATTTATTTGAAGACAAGCTACCACCGCCCCCAAAAACAGAGAAATATTATATTTTGTACGTAATAATAAATCTAAAATCCATTTGAAGTAATATGAAATTTACTTTACGATAAATTTTGCCCCTCCCCACTCTCCCCCGGACTGATAAACTGGCTACGCCCATACGAAACTATAATCTGCTTGACTGAAGTACTTCGATGTTCTTTCAACCAACCAACTCGATCCCTCAAGAGACCAGGACATAAACCACCATCAGTATCAAAGAAACCTATTAACAATTTACACTGAATCAGTATAGGTATATATGTATATACACTAAAACGTTCCAATCTTCTCGACCTGCCAAAGATCCATCGAGACGACAAATTTCATATCCTGAAGGAACTCCCCAGGCCCCGGTCTGGGATTTCCGTATCACGACGTCTATTTATGAAGAGTTTTCGAAAGGACTGGAGGTGTTCTCCTGGAGGGTGGAGCGACACCGGAGTGCGGTCGCCAGTTCTTGGCACGGATCCGTTCGACTGAACGGCTCTTCGAGGCGGGGCGCCCACGGTGGCTGATATTTGGATCAGGATCCGTTAACGCGGTTAGGCAAATGCAAGCAAGAACGGTAGCAAACTCCTTGGAGCTAAGTCGTGTACATAGAGCGGCGGAGGTCTGTAACGGGTGGTGGAGTAGGGGGGGGGGATTAGAGGAGGAGGACACAGACAAACATCGGACTAACACGAGCGCACACGCCACGCCCCCTTGTCCCCCGCCCCTCCCCCGTCTTACGCATGCAGTTTGTATCAACGTAGTAGACGGGTGTATGCACAGTGGCGTAAGAGCCCTCGCCTGGGCTACATTACTATCCCTATGTGGGAGGGGGAGGGGGAGCAGCGCCCCCTATTATATTTACTACGGCGTGGTTAGGTTCGGAAGCAGCGAGTCTTTGAGGCGATTATCAACTACAAATATTTGCCGAATACAACACCCTTTCTCCTATGGTGATCGTTGCGCGAGCAAAGAAATACACGCGACTGGTGAGAATGAGGCAGGTTTGCACGGTGTTATACAGGTTGTTTCGCTTGAAACGGGCCACCTAAATATTCTCTCTATCTGTGATCATACGAGAAATATTTTTTAGGTAGTTTAAATGGTTTCAAGAGACGAATCAGATGGTGGAAAGAATTATATAAGTGAATTAAAAATATTTAGAGTAAAGTTTTAAGCGGAACACCCTGTATACTGGAGTATAGTTAGTTTCTGGTGATATTGACTTGGTGACAGTGAAATTTGTGTTGTGTATGTTTGGGATGGATGAACTGGAGGTTTTATTTTAGGAGATGACGTGGTTCAAATGATGATCTAGAAATCGATTTTAGTGTAAGGATGTTATATCCAGGGTGTAAATATTGGGGATGTTGATTTGATTTTGATGGCAAATTTGTTGTATGTCTCACTTGGGAACGTGGGAATTGAAATGCTGTGAATTGGATTACAGTACAGAAACTCGAGGATAGTATTTCGACATTTGATATTTGATATTATGTTAGAATGGAGTATTAACATATTTACTAATTAATATAGAATATATTATCTATTCTATATTAATTTTGTATTTTTATATCAGTATTTCGTTATAACATAACTAAATAGAAAGTTATTTAATACACAGTGTATGATATATATTTTAATCTATTAATATTATAAAGAATAATATTTGAATATTTGATATTTGACATTATATTAGTATGGAATAATAATGTACTAATATAGAATTAATATAGAATACATAATATTATCATTATATTGTGATATACATATATTCTCTTATAAAATTAATATATTAATATAGATTATATTGTACATTTTATATTAGTATACTAATATTCCAATCTAACAAAATAACAAATATTAAAATACTAATAATCAAATCTTTAAATTTTATTCCTTACAATATGAATAATAGATTAGTTCAGAATATATATTACATATTGTATATTAAAAAAGTCTAATATGTTTAATATATAAAATTATTAAATCAGTATATATTTGAGTTACATATTTCACATTTCTAAGGACACTGACAATTACGTTCGATGTTTTCAATTCTGAATATATGTTCTAACTGTGTTAAGATAAATCATTGCTCCATAGAAGAACAATGCAATATATATTTCTGTTCTTTATATTCTATATTGATATATTAATATTCTAAAGAGAATATATTTTACAATATACATATGCATATACAGATGTAGAACATGATAGTATTACATTAAAATAAAATATATTATCTTATAACATTAATAGATGTGTTGAATATACATGTATTACACATTATATATTAACTAAATTTCTTTTAATTATACTGTTTATATTGTTGAATATATTTTATAATAGTATTTAAATATTTGTAACGCTCCATAGAAGGTCAATGAGTTTCTGTTCTTAATGAGCATTAGCGAGAGTTCGTTGAATATTCCAAGGGCTACGACAGTGGTCGAGTGGAACCACGGCGTAAAGTTCGACGGGGCAAGTTCTGCCCCCACGAAGAACCAGCTGCCGGAAGCCGCAGTGTTTCTTGCTCCGTTTGATTGCCAAAAGGAGGCGGCCGTGCCGGAAGACCCAGCACTAAGGGTACACCTCGAAGAATCCTGGGGACGGACTTCCGTCTAGCTGACGAAGAAAATGAAATTTACTGGCATTGTCGAACCGCGGTTTCCCATTTGAGTAAAATCTGGTCGCGGCTTAGGATGTTCTGTTCCAACAATTACCGAGGAACTAAAAGACACAATTAATGATTTAATGCATATTCTTGCATTTTATCATAGAAAATCACTCCACTCATTATTTAACGCTTTTGATCATTGAAAACGACCTAATTTGCATCGACTACTTTATTTGCTAGAAGATTTGGTACCTTGTGATATCCTGTTGCCCTCCAAAAGAGGAATCAAAGGGGAGATTGATTGGAACACTTTCCAGTGATGGAAGTAGTTTAAATATCCCAAATGATACTACTGACAAACAATAAGTATTATCATTGACATACGACTTTGTTATAATAATACTATCAACTAACCTTCGTATAACATGGAGGTTAGGTTGGGTTCCTAAAACTTGCCGTGTTATGCGAATTTGTGTTATAAGAAACTAAGAACTAGTAGATGCATACATTCAAAAAACAGTGTTAGATTCCAAAAAGTAACAAAATTATATTATTTCTTCACAATTCTCTAATTGTGTTATAGGAGTGCCGTGTTGTAAGGATACCGTATTTTAGGAACACCGTGTTATAAGAATACCGTGTTACAGTAATACCGTATTACAGGGATATCGTGTTATAGCAATACCGTATTATAGGGATTCCGTGTTGTAGGAATACCGTGTTATAGTAATACCGTGTTATAGTAATACCGTGTTATATGAATACCGTGTTATAGGTATACCGTGTTATAAGAATACCGTGTTATAGGAATACCGTGTTATAGGAATATCGTGTTATAGGAATACCGTGTTATAGGAATACCGTGTTATAGGAATACCGTGTTGTAGGTATACCGTGTTATAGGGATTCCGTGTTATAGGAATACCGTGTTATAGGGATTCCGTGTTATAGGAATACCGTGTTATAGTAATACCGTGTTATAGTAATACCGTGTTATAAGAATACCGTGTTATAGGGATACCGTGTTATAGGGATACCGCGTTATAGGGATACCGCGTTATAGGGATACCGTGTTATAAGAATACCGTGTTATAGGGATACCGTGTTATAAGAATACCGTGTTATAGGAATACCGTGTTATAGGAATACCGTGTTATAGGAATACCGTGTTATAGGAATACCGTGTTATAGGAATACCGTGTTATAGGAATACCGTGTTATAGGTATATCGTACTATAGAAATACCGTGTTACAGGAATACCGTGTTATAGTAATACCGTGTTATAGTAATACCGTGTTATAATAATACCATGATATAAAAATATTATGTTACAAGAATACCGTGTTATAGGAGTACCGTGTTATAGGAGTACCGTGTTATATGAGTACCGCGTTATAGGAATACCGTGTTATAGGGATACTGTGCTATAGGAATACCGTGTTATAGGGATTCCGTGTTATAGGGATTCCGTGTTATAGGGATTCCGTGTTATAGGAATATCGTGTTATAGTAATACCGTGTTATAGGAGTACCGTGTTATAGGTATACCGTGTTATAGGTATATCGTACTATAGAAATACCGTGTTACAGGAATACCGTGTTATAGTAATACCGTGATATAAGAATACCGTGTTACAAGAATACCGTGTTATAGGAGTACCGTGTTATATGAGTACCGCGTTATAGGAATACCGTGTTATAGGGATACTCTGCTATAGGAATACCGTGTTATAGGAATACCGACAAAGTTACACACACATATTGTATCAATTACAAACAGTGTTTAGTATTAAAATAAAAAAAAAAGCATTATCCACAGCATGAATCAGACATTACTGTTCAGACCAAACCCAATGTA